ATTACTTGGAATATTTCTTGCCATTCTCTGCTTGCTTGGAGTGTTTCCATTGCCGAGTAAGCCGCTAACCTTATTGGGGCTCTATTGTATGTTAGTTCCTGTTTCTCCCTTGCTGTGTTTAAGATTGTCTTTTTATCTTGTTATTTTGCCATTTTAATTATGTGTCTTAAAGTAGTCCTGTTTGGGTTTCTCTTAATTGGGACTTTCTGTGTTTCCTGGATTTGTGTTAATCAAATTAGAGAAGTTTTTCATCATTACTTTTTCAAATAAGTTTTTTATCCCTTGCTCTTCTTTTTCTCCTTCTTGTATCCCTATTATAAGGATATTATTATGTTTCATGTTGTCCTGCTCTTCCCTTAACCTCCCTTTGTTCTTTCTGAGCCTCTTTCCTTTTCTTGCTCTTTCTGTGTGTTTTTTTCTACCTTGTCCTCTAGTTCACTGATCTAATCCTCTGTTTCATTGATTCTGATTTTGATTCCTTCTACTGTGTTCTTCCATTAAGAAATTTTATTGCTCATTTCCTCTTGGCCCTTATTTATAGTTTCTATTTCCTTTTTCATTGTGATATAGTTTGCAGTGAGTTCATTGTAGCTCCCCTGTAGTTTCTGGTAACTCATTGTGAGCTCATTGAACTTCCTGATAACCAGTGCTTTGAATTCAATATCTGAGAGTTGACTTGCCTTTATTTCATCTAACACTCTTTCTGAGGCTTTCTCCTTTTCTTTCATTTGGGGATTGTTTTGTTTTGTTTTGTTTTTGTCTTCCCATTGTTTGTGAGATTCTTTTTCTTAGCTTCAGCTTCTTAGGTTGATCTGTTCTGGCTCCCTGGGTTTATGGTGTGAACTTCTGTGGTAGAATACCTGTGAAATTCAGTGGTGTAGTCTTTTTGATCTCCCAAGCTATCTGGTCTTGGGGTGTTCTTTAAGTTGGCTCTGGGTTTGTCTTTGGGTATTGATTATTTTGGGGGTCTTTTCTTTGAGGGTCCTTCCTACCAGCTGGTGAACTGATGGTCCCTCTGTCCACCACCTCTTGTAATTTGTTTTGCTGTTGAGGGCAGGTTGTGTTGAAGCTAGTTCTTCCATGTGTACAAGGTTTTGAGTATTCTCTTTTTCTCTTGTTCAGTTTTTTGTACTGGGTAGTTTCTTCACTATTTAGGTCCTGAATTGAGGTCCAGATGGGTCCTGAATTGAGGTGTGTGTGATTTCCACTTCATCATTCATCTTCTTCTATTGTTATCTGCGGGTATTTTCTTGGTTGTTTGGTTTCCTCTTCCAGTGGGTATCGTACTGTTCACTGCTTCCACCTACTCTTTTTTGTGTGTGTGATCAGTTGGAGGGGAAGGAAAAATTGTTTATGATATCAGGAGAGTATTCTATGGTATTTACTATAGCAGCCAGTAGAGAAGAGATAGGAAATCCTTTGGCTATGTATAGTGTTAACTGTGACCTTCAACCCAACTAGCAACTTTTTAGAGAGAATGGAAAGAAGATAAGACTCTTGGGGAGGGAAAGATTGTGAGTTGGATGTAGAAACCAGTGAGGTTGTGGTAGGTGAGATTCTGAAGTAAGGTGAGAGTAAAGGATAATAAATAGGTGTAGTATGTGAGACAATATAGTTAAGCACAACAGTAATAGAGTTCAGGAAACTGAAATGGGCTAAGATCCAGGAGGGGTGTTGTGAAGTCTTTATAATTCTATGGAACAGCTATTATTTACAATAATATTTGAGCAACAATCATATGATAAAATCTATGTGATCTGGATAACAAGAATAGGGGGTATAGGTGTTTGAGTAGTGTTCTAAAGGAGCACAAGTGATGTGAAGGACAGTAAATTAGCAATACACTGTGGAAGAGAGAACGGGGGAAACCTGTCAAATGACACAATATGACCAGCCAAGCAAAGAAGACTGTACAGAAAGAAGAAGAATACAAAATACTATTAAAATAAAAGATGTAAAAATAAGAAAAAAACAGTAATACAAATATGCACTACTTGTAGTTTCTCTGCAACAGCAAAGTGAAATTTGTCTCACTATCTCACCTGTTGGGATGCCTCCTCTTTGGGTCCAACTCTGGTCCTTTCACAGTGCCAAGTTTTGTGTCTCACTTGTGGGTATTAAAAAAAAAGGCAGGAGCATGGAAAAAGAAAATATAAAATCGAAGAGAAAGGAAGAAGAAATAAAACAAGAAAGAAGGAAAGAGAGGAAAAGGGTATCGAAAGATAAAACAATAACAAAATTTAAAAAGTAAAAAAAAATACCTTTTGTTGATTTCAAACTGGCCAAACTGGTTTCTTCTGGTCTTGCTGACTGCAGCAGGCTGAGGGGCAATTGGTGTGGCCTTTCTTCCTTCCCAGTGTGTACTCAGCCAGTCCTGAGAGCACTTTCTCAATAGCTAGTCTGGTGCCTCTCCTGGATGCCTGAGGTGGGAGCACTCTTTCCCTGGGGGTTACTGTTGTAGGCTGGGGTGCAGGAACACACACTCTGCCAGGCTGCCTTGGTCCCTCTGCTTTGGGGGTGAACCCTTCCCAGTGCTTTGGGGAAATGCAGGGCCTTCAGTGCCACCTCGGAATTGCTGCCTGGCTGGGTGGTAAGTAGGTGGGGCGGCTGTCGCAGAAGAATCCCCCAAACATTTTTACTTTTTGAAAAAATCCTCCTACTCAAGCCTATGGCTCCACACAGCCCAATTCTCCAGCCATACCAGTGACTAGTGGGGTCAGTGGGTGTTACTGTTCGACTCTCAACTCTCCCAAGCAGGAGCCAAGAGACTCCTGGTGATCACGGTCCCTGTGTGTTTGCCTCTTTGTCCTTATTCCCCTCTCAGCAACTTCAAGTAATCAGGTCTCTCCTGGTGCTGCTCAAACCCTGCTTGGTGGGGGAGGGAGGGAGCAGTTGACCTGGCTCTTTCCCAAGGACTCCGTGGCAGGCCTGCCGCTCCCAAGGAGTCTGTAGTAGACCCAGCACCAGTGCTGGGTGTGGGGTGCTGGGCCTGAAGCTACAGCAGCCCTGTTCCCTGTGCTGGTGCCTGGGACCTTATCTTCCTGAAGCACACACCCTACCATTTGTTTTTTCAGTGTCTGCTACAATTTCTGGTCTCTTATTTTCATATCTGCTGGGGTACTGTTGGCTGTTTGCTCTGTTCCTCCATAGATTGGCCAGGTTTTTCTCCTGTGTGTAGGGGGAAGTGGAATCTGCTCCATCCTATTCTGTCCCCATCTTCCAGGATCCCTCCCTCTTGCTGGCTTCAAACTGGCCAAACCAGCTTTTCTGTTCTTGCTGGGTACAGCAGGCTGAGGGACGCATTTACAGATGTGGTCTCCAGATCTCCAGAGGTCTGGAGGTGCGTACTCACTCCTGGTCCATCAGTGCTGTCTTTGGGTCTCTGGAGGCACAGGCACTCACTCTAGGTTTACCAGGTGTAGGCTCTGCGTCTCCTGAGGTGGGCACGCTCTCTCCGAGTCCACTGGTGTGGTCTACCACATGTTGCGAGCATGTGGCCCTGACTAGGCTGCCTTTGGTCACATGGGCTCAGGTGCACACTATTTACAAGGCTATATGGGTGGGTGCTCACAGCCCCTGAGTGTTTGCCACTCAGACCTTATTCCCCTCTCTGAGACTTCAAGGAACCAGGTCTCTCCCTGTTCTGCTCAAACCCTGCTTGGCCAGGGAGGGAGCATCGACCCAGCTCTCTCCCAAGAATCCCTGTGGCTGGCCCAGCCTGCCCTGGTCCCTGTGCTGATCCCTGGGCCCTTATTGTCCTGAAGCACTCTCCTTACCATCTGGTTTTTCAATGTCTGCTACAATTCTTGACCTCCTATGTTCATATATGCTGTGGTACTATTGGCTGTTTGCTCTGTTCTTCCATAGATCAGCCAGGTTTCTCTCCCATGTGTAGGGGGAAGTGGAATCTGCTCCCTCTTATCTAGCTGCCACCTCTCTTTCCCTACCTCAAATCTTATATTAACAAGTTTACATTTAATTCCCTGTATTCAGTTATGAAATGGAAATCTACTTGTTCCCCACTCACAATTATGTTTATTATAAGAATGAAGTATAAATCAAGGGTAATATGACAGTAGCCAAGAAGCTTTAGATTTATGGTGTGTGATCCTTGTGAGAATAAGCTACAAACATCTGTTACTAAGTATCTTTCAGAAACGGCGTTTTATCACAGTCATCCTTATAGGATTCCTTTGAAAGTCTTATTCATTGCTTTTTGAAGGGAATTAAAATGGATCTAATGGAGTTAAAGATCCAAAGAGCATGCCCTTAAAATTTTTTAAATTACGTTTGAACAATAGGTACTTTTTAGCATGTTTTAACAGATTAACACAGTGTATTTATCAGGATTAATCTTTCTCACCAACATTTTGAAAATTTTTAAACCTAGACCATTCTTGAAAATAGATTTAAAAGTGAGGTCAAATTGTATTGTCATAATTAATCAATTAATCCATCTATTCACAATCTTTAACAAAAGTCATACTTTTGCAGTAATAGAGGGAACATCTTATTTTCCCAAAATATAATGTATTCACTACACCATTTTGGAAATAAAGTTTCACCAACCATCGTGCATTTTTAATATGAGTGTTTATGTGGTTAATTAAGCAAGATACCAGTATCCATGTCTATAAACTGGAAATAAGTGTAACTGATTTAACTGCTTTCTAAAGATTTTTTTTTTTTGAGAAAATACCTGGGTCAGAATCTGGCACTAATTTAATAAAATAGTCTAACATTATTTTGTTGTTAATATTATAATTATTACTGTTCAATTTGATGTTTTATGATATAATCAATCTATTTTTTAAGTTTTATTCCAATATAATTGACATATAGCATTATATATGTTTAAGCTATACAGGTTAATGATTTGACTTACATATAGAATGCAATGCTTATAAGTTAAAATCTAGCATCTCATATCAACATAAACATATATTTTCATTGAGATGAGAGCCCTTAGGATCTACTTTCTTGACAGTTTTCAATATATCTGAAATATGGAACACTTCACAAATTTGCATGTCATCCTTATGTGGGGGCCCTGCTGATTTTCTCTGTATCCTTTGATTTTAGTATATGTGGTGCTGAAGCAAGCACAATCCATTTTTAAGTGCTTATTTTGGTAGACAAATGCCTATTTTGTAAAACAAAGCAATTCTTTTCAAGACTTTTAAAAAATTTCTTAATGTGCACTAAGTAGTGAGGATATGAAATTCTGTGGTATATTTTAGCAATCAACAAAAGATGAGAGTCTCTCTGAAATATTTATTTTAGGCCTCAGATTTTAAACATTGGATATTTGCTTTCCTGGATCATCTTCAAGATCAAATAATAAACACTTTTATTTGACATATTTCCTTTTTGGTGTTTCGTGCATCTGTTATAACATAAACAAGGGTAGCACTTGATGAGAATCTGGAGGAAGAAGTTTATAAATAAACCAAATTTTAACTTGAAAGTTGTTAACCATACCTTAGTCTTTAAATGAATATACTATACTTATTATAGTATCTTTCTGCCAAATAACTGAGGTAATTTAAATAGCTCCATAATACAGTAATATCTTAAGTGGGAAGGTATATAGCTAATTTAGTCTCAATATTTCTATTTTACTAAAATCTCACTTAACACATTAAATGCTACATCTCTGGAATTTTTAAGAGTGAATTTAATTGCCCATAAAGGAAAAAATTTTCCCAAATAATATTACTTTGTAAGTATTTAAACCTTAATGTAGGGTCCACTTCTTCTTAGCTCAGAGGCTTTTTCATGTGTCTTTTCGGCAGGCTTTATATACACCAATTGTCCATTAAAATAAGTTCACTTAGGTGGGTATATTAGTTTACTAACTTATAACAAAAGTAGTAACCACCCACTCCTCTTAATTTGTGTATCGAAAAAAAGTACTCAATAGTACATATGACATGAATAAACAGCAAATGGACCCACAGCCATGGGCTAAAGCAACCACCTCAGTTACAAACTCTGTGTTTGAATTCCCTTCATGATAGTTGTTGTTGATTCCAATTTTAAATGTCATTGCTGGTCAGGGTTGGTAATAAACTCTTTTTTATGATTACTTACTCACCCATTCAAGGTTTACAATCTGAACAATCCTACTCAGAGTTAATATAAAATATAGATAAGGCCTAAATCAGGACAAAGCCAGGCCCAAAAGAAACCCTCATAAAATGTTATATTGCAATAACCATTCTGATTTCCCTTTTGGAAAGTTTTTATAGAGCAATAAGCAAAATTTTGTTATCCTTTCTGAGATTCAATCAGTCACTGAGTCAACAAATATTTATGTGACAGATACTTTCCTAAGGCATGAAGTGGACAAGACAGGTGAAGACCCTGCTTTTGTGGTGCCCACATTCTTGGCGAACAGAGAGGTGGACTTTAAATTGTGGTGTAAAATAATACCAAAGTAACATATATCTTCATTAAAAGAGATAATGCAAGGTGGTGATAAGTGTGATTAAGTGTGACATACTGAGTGGATGTGTTTTAGATCATGTGATTCAGGAAACCCTTCTCTAGAGGAGATATTAGAGATGATATCTGAATTTCACAAAGTACTCATTCATATGACCAGCTGGAAGCAGAACATCCCAAGTAAAGGGAATGAAAATAAGAAACAACTGATGGAAATATTTATATCTGATCACTATATGAACTGCAGAGGTTCTATGATATTTTTATTTTTAAAGTATCTTGACAAAAATTTTAAAGATATGTTGTTTAAGCAAAGAATTAAAAATTGTTTAATGACTACAGAAAGACACGGGAGAATCATCTGTGTACCTAAGATTTTTAGTCAATCCCATTGTAATGCAATTTGTGGATCAAAGTATTCAGCAAAACAATCATTTACTACCTATTCCTTTACAGGAAGGATGCTCAATAATTTTAGACATCACAAACTCCTAGATGATTCTCTAAAATACTTTTATAAACTATATTTGCTGTTCCCAACCCACAGTAATGAACACTTCTTAATTTGTCAACCCAGTTTTCTCTTTCTCTCTGTACCTCTCCTTTTCTCTGTCTCTGTCTCAGCCTCTCTCTCCCACACACACAAAGAGGCATGTGCATAAATAGCTGAAAACTGTTTCTCAAAACAATATTTATGGTTTCTACATGGGATGATTTTTATCTAGTATGTTCTTTCTTCAAAATGTATTTTTATTGTTTATACCTTTATAGTGGTTTCTGATTTCTTGCCCTTTCCCCAGTTCCACCCAGCCCCACTTTCTCCCCTCCCCAAGTCAATCCCCATATTGTTGTCCATGTCTGTGGGTGGTGCATAAATGTTCTCTGGTTAATCCCTTCACCATCTCTCATCCTGCCCCCCCCACTCTTTTGGGCAGTTGTCAGTCTCTTTTTTGTATTTAAACTTCTGTTACTATTTTGCTCATTAGCTTTTGTGTTCATTAGATTCCATGTATACATGACATCATCTGGTATTTGTCTTTCATTGAATGGCTTAATTCATTTAGCATAATTTTCTCTGGGTCCCTTCATGTTGTTGTAAAGTGTAAGAGTTATTCTTTTTTACTGATGCATAGTATTACAGTGTGTAAATACACCGCACCTTTTTTATCTATCCATCTACAGGTTGGCGCATAGGCTGTTTCCAGATCTTGGCTATTATAACTAGTGCTGCTATAAACATAGAGGTTCGTATATTTTTTGTATTGGTGTTTCACAGACCTTGGGTTAATTCCAAGAAGTGAAATCAATAGATCAACCAGGAGTTCCATTTTTAATTTTTTTAGGTAATTCCATATTATTCTTCAGTGACTGCACTGGACTGCATTTCCATCAATAGTGGATTAGGTTTCCCTTTTCTCCACAACCTGGCAAATCCTTGTTGTTTGTTGATTTAGCCATTTGTTGATGGTAGATATTCTGATAGGTATAAGGTAATGTCTCACTGAAATTTTAATATGCATTTCTCTGATGGTCAGTGATGATGAGAATTTTTTAATATGTCCAAGGGTGTTCTGTATGCCTTCCTCAGAGACGTGTGTGTTCAGGTTTTTAGTTTATTTCTAAATTGGGTTGTCTTCCTGTCATTGAGTTACATTAGTTCTTTATATATTTTGAATTGTCAGATGTATCATTGGCAAAAATGTTCTCTGATACAGTGGGTTCCGTTATTTGTCTTGCTGATGGTTTTTTAGCTGTACAGAAGCTTTTTAATTTGATGTGTTTATTTTCTGCTTTGTTTTCAGTGCCTTAAGAAATATATAGGCAAATATATTTCTACGCTGGAGATCTGAGATTTTACTGTTTATGATTTCTTCAAGGATTTTTATGGTTTCACAGCTTACATTTAGGTCTTTTATCCATGAGTTCATTTTTCCAAATGGTTATAGTTAGTGGTCTAGTTTCAATTTTTGCATGTACAACTCTAGTTTTCCAAACACCATTTATCGAAGACACTGTCTTTGCTCCATTGTATACTCTTCTCACATTTGCCCAGTATCATTTGCTTATACTAGTGTGAGTTTATTCCTGGGCTCCCTATTCTGTTCCATTGTCAGTCTGTTCTTCTACTATTACCAGGCCATTTTTATTACAGTGACCTTAGAGTATAGTTTGATATCAGGAATTGTGATACCTACAGCTTTGTTCTTCTTTCATACGATTTCTGAGGATATTTGGGGTCTTTTTTGGCTCGATATAATTTTTGGAATATTTGTTCTAGGTCCGTGAAGTATGCCATCAGTATTTTAATAGGAATTGCATTGACTGTATAAATTGCTTTGGGTAGAATAGCCATTTTAATGATGTTAATTATTCTAATATATGAGCCATTTTGTTCTTTTACATATTTGTATATTTTTTTTATTTCTTTCTTCAGTGACCTATAGTTTTCTGAGTACAGGTCTTTTACTTCCTTGGTTAAATTTATTACTAGGTACCATATTTTTTGTCACAATAGTAAATGGAGTTGTTTTCTTAGTTTCTGTTTCTGATAACTCATTATTGGTGTATAAAGATACAATTAGTTTCTGGGTATTAGTTTTGTATCCTGCTATTTTTGCCTAATTCATTAGGTCTAGTAGTTTTTTAGTGGAGTCTTTGGAGTTTTCTATGTACAATTTGGTGGAGTTTTTAGGGTTTTTTTATGTGAATAATGACTGCTTACTTCCCCATTTCCAATTTTGATACCTTTTATTTCTTCTTCTTATCTGATCACTGTGGCTAGGACTTCCACAACTATGTTGAATAAGACTGGTGAAAGTAGACATCCCTGTTTTGTACTTTATCTCTAGGGGAATGCTTTTAGTTTTTGCCCATTGTGAATGATTTTGGCTGTAGGCTTTTCATATATGGTTTTATTATATTGAAGTATCATCCCTCTATTCCCACTCTGCTAAGGCTTTTTTTTATCATGAATGGGTGCTAGATTTTATCAAAGGCTCCTTCTGCATCTATTGATATGATCATGTTGTTTATGTGATGTATTACATTTGTCTTCCATTTTGTTTATGTGATGTATTACACTTAGTGATTTGAGAATATAGTAGCATCCTTGCATCCCTAGGATGAATCCCACTTGACTGTAGTGTATGATCTTTTTGGTGTGTTGATAGATCTGGTTTGCTAATATTTTGTTGAGGATTTTAGTATCTATGTTTATTAGGGATAATGTCCTATAATTTTCTTTCTTCATTGTCTTTACCTTAATTTGGAATTAGGATAATACTGTCCTTGTTGAAAGAACTTGAAAGTCTTCAGTACTCTTGAATTTTTGGGGAATGCTTTGAGGAGGTTTAGTGATAGTTGTCCTTTGATTAATTGGTAAAATTCTCCTTTGAAGCCATCTTGTCTAGGGCCTTTATGTGCCAGATGTACTGTTTTGATTTCAGTCTACCAGTTATCAGTCTATTCAGGTTTTCTTCTTCCTGATTCAGTGTTAGGAGATTATATGTTTCTAGAAATGTGTCCATCTCACCCAGGTTTACCAATATGTTGGCATATTGTTGTTCATAGTAATTTCTTATAATACCTTATATTTCTGTGATATTAGTTCTTATTTTGCCTCTTTCATTTCTGATTTTACTTGAGACCTCACCTTTTTT